GAGTAATATGTAAGGTTTGTTTGTCAATTAATGATTATCACCTTGCTGCATTTCTTTATTCATTCTGAACGTTTGGAATAAACTTTTTGTGTATTCTGGCTGTGAAATGGGATTATCTGGAATGTATAAAGAAACGCAGCCTTTATTTGTTTTTTGCAAAATAGCAAATAAATTAGGTTTGCAATAAACAAGTTCCTTTTAAACCATTTTAAAAATTTAAAAATTTGCCTATTTTATTCTGTAAAATTGAACTCATTTAAACGATATTATCCCGATAGTATCGATAGTCGTTCCGAAATACGACAAAACTATCGTAACACTGAACGCTTGAGATTTTTCCATCGGAGATTTTTAGTTTGAAGTAGGTTTCATTGATTGAGAAAACGTATTCACTCCACATACGGAAGGCATGTAGCATCATGGTGAAATAGGTTCTCAATTAGTCAGGGGTTGATGGGGTTGTCAGTTCATTCATGCATTGGCTGGCGTTTTTTGTGATGGGTAGCTGTGAAGCTACTTTAAGTCCAGGCCCTTCATCCAATCAAATGATGTATGTTTTATTGATCATGAGCCTTTCTTCAAAATTTATCAAAGAATGATGTAGTACTTACCTACGTACGGAGTGGAGTGAAAGATTGCCGCATATTTTAAATGAGTGACCTTAAAATCAACTTTGAAATATTTAAATAATGCAGATAACAATATTACCTTGCTGTGCTATTCTTATATCCACGCTAATTTACTTATGTCCGTCGTCAATCTACCTGCTAAATATAACTTCTCTTTATAGAGAAATTCCACTTTAAATTTAAAAATAGCAAAGGAAAACAAACAAATATTGGCTTAATCTGAGAGACATAATTAGGCAACACAAAGTACTCACAAATTGAGTAATCACTTCCAAGGAAGAACAAAAAGCAATGTTACTTAATACATATTTACATACTCATAATATAATATTTGCCCAACTCATTACAAGTAGTTAGAGCCGGTTTCAGTGAAGTTCCCTATCAGTTCTAGCACTCGTGGTAGCGATAAGCGCCACACAAGCGCTCACCACCGACCCGATAGAAGTACACTAGGTGACAAATGAAAGTGTACACCCTGTTCTAATACAAAATTCAAAATTATTTTCATGAAACATTTTTTTCATTAATTACACTGGATCACAAGTTTTAAATCTCCAGACGCCACTATCCAATTTGTATGTAGAATCGCCGCAGATTCCAAAAATCAAGGTAATTTTTAATTTTGTGGATACGTTTTCGAGATATTTTTAATTTACCGTTATTCAGCTTAAAACAAAAGGTAGTTCCACTTAGTCACTTATATCTCATGAAACAATTCAACAACCTGAAAATGGAATACGACAAATGAAAAGCGTCTATACGTCAATTTCCGAAAGGACTGATAGTTTCAGACAAATTAATAAATCATTCTAGTTTTTTTATGAAAAAAATAAAAACAAATCAAATTGTAACAGCAGAAAAATTAAAAACCTAACAGATTCTGTGTCAAATTTTTGCAGTTGGGCTAAAGCTCGCTCTGTTACATACAAATCAAGTTACTCATGAAGCAAATCGATGGATAAATTAAGAAGTACTGAGTGGTCAAATGAAAATGCGCAGATTTTTTGTATTATTCAGAATTTCTAGAAATTTCGAGTATGCCGTTATGTAGCCCATTTAATTTTAGTCCAAGGAGTTTCAACCGGCTAAAAAATCGCGTTGATTTTTGGGGAGTGTTTTTTTAACCGACTTCCAAAAAAGAAAGAGGTCATCAGTTCGTCGGAATATTTTTTTTTTATGTATGTTATCACTTTGGACCACGTCATCCGATTGCGATAAGTTTTTTTGCATCGGAAAGATAGTGTCTCAGAGGTGGTCCCATAATAATCTGGTTTAGATCCGATCATTGGATCATGAAATATATATATATATATATTTTATAATAGAATTGAAGTCCGGTTTGTTTTTTGCTTAAAAATTACTTTTTTATATAACAAGTGCAATTTACAAAACGTTGCGTAGATTTTTTGAAATTTTGATGCTAACGGTCTCCCGCATTTTATTTCATAGGAAATTCATGCCTACATGGAAAGAAGTACAAAAATCCGTCCCCTAAAAAGAATTCTCAAAAAGCAACGCCATTTGTAACTTGCCCTTCATTGGACTAAAATTGAATGCGCTACAAAACTGCATACTCAAGAATTTTCTAGAAATCCTGAATAAAAAAAATGCTGATGAAAATTTTTAAGAACTTTTTTTTATGAACTTTGTATAAAGTGTGAAACTTTGATTAATATAGTTTATATTATAGAATGAACTACATGTGTCTTCATAAATATTTAATGCAAAATATGTTTCACGAAAGTAATTGTGAATATTATATTCGTATAAGGTGTGCACTTTAATTTGTCGCCTAGTATAGGTACATACATGCATAAATATGTATGTATATATGTAAGTATGTACATAGGCACGTATGTACACACACATGAAACTATAAATATATGTTTAATGAAACATCTCCGCTTTTCCCCCATTTACCCTCCAAATAATACGTTCATCCTATAATAAATTTATATATGACACACATTATATAAGTCAATTACCTTTCTGAGTGCAATAAGAATCGGGAACTTGAAAATATCCATATAGTTATGATAACCTTCTCAGAAGTAAAGTAAGCAGTTAACAACAAAAGTGGTTTTGAAATATACTATTTAGTCGTGATTTGCCTTTATGCTACGCTGTTATCAATTCATCGGAATATTTTTTTTATGTATTTTGCCGCATAACTTTGGTCCAGGTCAACCGATAATTCTTTTTCTATCGGAAAAGTAGTGTCTCACAGTGGTCCCATACTAATTTGATTTAGATGCGATCACTGGATCATGAAAAAATTTAATTTTTATACGAATATTGAAGTCGGTTGCGTTCTTGCATAAAAATTACTCTGTTTTATCTTTTGGTTTTATTTGAGATTTTTTTTTTTAATAAGTTAATTTTTATGATATGAAAGTATTTAGGTTTCTTTCCTCATAAATTGTGGTTGAACTAATAGATATTGCGAACCTACGATGGATTCAGTGAAAGCCCTTTCGTAAGACAAATGAAAGACAGATGACAAGATAGTTCGAAAGACTTTTGTTATTCTAGCACAAAAGTCGTATGGCTTTATTCATAAAAAATAAAGTAGGCTTAAAAAAGCTTTTTTTAATTTCATTTCATTTTTAGGTATGTATTTAATATTTTCAGTTTTAAATATTTTTTTTAATTCAAGATTTTATTGTGTAAAAAAGAAAAAAAATTTTTGTTTAAATGCCATTTACTTTATGAAATTTATTTTATTTTTTCTTCATTTTAATTTAACTAATTTTTTTGTTAATTTTATTTGATTTCAAGTTTTAATTTTATTGTTTTAGTAAGAAACATATATTTTTTTAACCCATTTTATTACTAATTATCGGGATTGCACTGCACGTGATAGAAATGTACATATATACGTATTTTTTTATTTATAATTTTTAAGTCGAATTTCACAAGCCCATATCTATTGGGGGAAGCACCATCGAATAGCACATGTATGTACTTTCATTTCTTTATTAATGAGCAATTCGTAAGGAAATGTAAAGAAAGTGATAAGATTGGCGAGAGTGTATAGCGACGCGAAACAAAGTTTAAGTGAATCGGTAAACAAAAAGTCTACAAATCTACAATCTATTACTGAAGATAAAAAAAGGCTGCTTAAAGAAAATTAAATCGCGTCCCTTCCCCATACAATAGACACACCTACCTTCACTTCATACATACTAAGTTATGTATTTTAGTTATTTTTGTTTGAAAATTAAAATAGTACACTTATCCTATAATAGGGATGGGATATTCGAAGCGTCGATATTCGAGTTTTAATCGAATTTTAGCTCCAAAATGGCGAGTTTTTAAAACCGAACTTTGTGTTGCTAAAATTCGGATAAAATCGAATTTTTCTAGAAAAAATCGAGTTTCATCTTTATTTCCAAAAAAAAATCATGTTTTTCGATCTGATGCATCGAGACAAAAAATCTGTGCCAAGAAGGAACTGTTATTCCAAACTAAAATTTAAGCAATTTTTTGTAAAAAGTACTTTTTTTTATTTTTTATTTTAAATTTTTAGAGGCTTTTACGTTGGTAGCATCAAGCTTTTGAATGAGAAGACTCCTAGTAAAATAGTTTTCTAGAATATACCAATCCTCTAACGACCTTCCAAATTTGCTTTTTGCGGGATTTATTGAAGTAAAGGTCAAAATGACCCTTTTAGGCTAATAGGTTAAAATGTTCTACGAAAATATTTCCCACGAAATTTTTTTATAACCTTAACTTAACCTTTCATTTCGCTCAGACATTTGTTTTAACTATTTTTTCGACTTTTTTGAAAACTACTTAGGCCGAGACATGAAAACTTTAGTAGGCCATGATCAAAGTCCGGGCTAGTTTCCTACAGTTTAATTTGAGTTTAACTTTTTAAACAGGTGGCCACTCTCTTCAAGCACAACACAACAACGTTCAACAATCGTTTTCAAATTGTTAACAAAGCCAAATGTTTATTGGGTACTTATTAATTTATATAAAATAACGAAAAACACATACATACATAACTCAAAAGTTACGTTTTTGGAGATTTCATTATGCAATTAATAAGCTTGATAAGGAGAATATGTTCAGTCTAACAGATGACCAAACTTCCCAAACATGGCGAGGATATGTGTCTATCCATCTGTCTTTTTGTATATCAAATGTATGAATTGATAAAACTTTTTTTCCCTAAAAATTTTCAAATACTTCGATATATTAATAAACGTGCGATATACTTATGTACATATTTCATCGAATGAAATTTTCTTTGCAGCCTCAATTTACTTACTACATACATATATATTAAATATATATAAGCATGTGGCGACGCCTAACGCCAAACCATTTTACTATTCCGTGGCGTCAATGCGTTCAATATCAGCGTGTGTTGCAAGACCAACGTCATCATTCTGGAGATCATTCGCCTTCTCGAACAAGTGGGTGAGTAAACGCGAATATGGGTATTTGCTGTTAGTTTTGAGTCACCTTGACAATTCTCATTCATGTCAGCTGATGGGGAAGAGCATTTGAGCCGGTTATTTTGAAAGTATTATAAGTCATTTCCATCTTTTGTGCTTAAGTGGTTGCATCTATAAATCATTCTAGCGCAAAAACCTAATGACAAAACCTTTTATTTTGGCTGTGGAAGTTGAACGAATAACAGACGCGTTCAGATACAGGTAAGTGATCACTGATCACTAAAACCAAGCGGCATGAAATTAACTTATGCCACTTTCAAAATAGACTGCTCATTTATTAATTTTAAATGCACGTGCACGCTGATTTCACTTTCATTAAAATTGTTATTCATAAGCTAATGAAAATGCTTTCTTACAGTTGAGTGTTTTTGGGTCCATACATACACATGCATATATATGTAATATGAAGTACAAATAACCTGAAAGCCCAAATCGTCCAAATAGTTAAGCAGGATGATTTTTGTTTGGGAACTAGGTCAACAAAGCATTTCTCAAAAATATTCTTTAAATACTCGTATCAAAATAAAATTAACTCATGACAATATGCTTGCTCTCAAGACTTTAATTGACATTGTGTAGATGATTTTAGCAGTAAGAAAATAACTGCGATCTCTACAAACGGAATTACACTTATCTATTCTTATTTACCATATACCTCTTTCGAAAAAAAATTTAGAATTTTTTGCACAAAACTAAAACATATATCTATTTTGCCTTTGCAAAAAGAAGCTAGCAATTTATAATCTAATATATGTTTATACATATCGTCGTTTAAAGTACAAAATCGCGTATCGTCATTCTGTAAAACCGCGTAACTGACTTTGGCTGCCAAAAACTGGATTTGCTCACACAAGCTCTTGGCTCAATCCCTATCCATTAGTCCTGAAATATACTAGCCAGAAATGCGATTTCTTTATAAAAAAAAGAGAACCATTTTGAAATATGAGTGTTTTTACTCTCTAGAAAATAATTTATGCAACCTCACATACGCGGTTTTGTACTTTAAACGACGATATGTACATTAGGGTGAGCAAAAAATAGTTTAAAATGTTTAGCTCTCACCCCCTAGGATTTTTCTAAATGGAAAAAAGAATAACCGTATTCTTTTGTCTTTGAAAAAAATAATATTTAGAACTGCCTCAAAGCCCATACGTTTTAGATTTATTTATGGGGAAAAAAAATTGTCGTAGAAATGCCATAGAATTCTTGAAAGTCGATATTTTTCGTTCGGAAAACTCTGTTTCTCTTCAGGAGACTTCCAATAATAATACGCAACTGTGTTTTTTTTTTCTTTCTTCTTAAACATTGTGCGTCAACGATTGTTTTCCACTATCTAACTTATCATTAAAAGCAGGCATATTTTTAGATGACTGGAATCACGCTCATCACTCCCGTTCATAAAAGTGGCAGTAAAACTGAAATCTCCAACTAACACCAAATCTCGAAACTTCCAACAATTTCAAGCTCTTTGAAAAAAATCGTTATGGCAAAATTAACTTTTGCTTTCAAGCATTTTATTTGTTCAGCTCAGCATGGTTTCGTTCCTGGACGCTCTACAATTAGTAATCTTCCTGTATTCTCTAATTATTGCATTTCATCTTTTACAGATGGGTAGCAAGTAGATGCTATTTACACAGATATATCCAAAGCTTTCGATAGAGTCTCCCATGAACTGCTACTGTCTAAGCTTACAAAATTAGGTTTTCATTCCACATTTTTACGCTGGGTTGAGTCCTATCTAAGCAATAGAATAAACTACGTTGTGATTGTCAATGTTAAATCATTTACCTATATCGCGACCTCGGGAGTTCCACAAGGAAGTATACTTGGGCCTCTTTTCTTCGTCATTTTTATAGTTGTTACATTAATTGCTGTAATTTTCTTTTGTATGCCAATGATTTAAAAATTTTCTTGAGAATTGGAAGTCTATCTGATGTTTTAACTCTTCAAGCTGAGTTGAATAATTTCACTGAGTGGTGTCAAATAGGTTAGAAGTTAATACACAAAATGCTTTGTTGTAACTTATTCGAAGATCATCCAGTATAAGATATCTTCATCCTATCATATTTCTGATACGCTGTCATCTCGTGTTCTCAAAATACGGGATTTAGGTGTTGTATTTATTTGACTCTACTTTTACATTTGTTGAGCATCTTAATTATGTAATGCCAAATGCTTTTGCTTCTCTTGCCTTTATTAAAAGATTAAAGATCCATATATACGAAAGCTTTTGTATAATGATTTTGCAAGATCAAAACTGGAATATGGAAAGGGTGAAAACACCATGCCAAATATAAATAAACAAGTAAGAAAGGCTAAGTTCGGGCGGAGCCGAACATTAAATACCCGGCGCAAGTATTAAATATATGTTTTTTCACCCTTCCGAAACCTTCTGCTAGATGGTAAGCCGAGGTGTATCAATTTTGAGTAAAATAGCGTCCTTCAATTTCGAAATATTGAAGTTTCAAGCATTTCTTAAATTTACCGTTATATGAGAATCGGCCGTTTAGTCCGATTTCAATAATTTTCAACGTTTTGCTTACACGTGGCAAGTACAATAACCATACCGAGTTTGGTACAAATTGGTAGAACGGTTACCGAGATACATATATGTGATCATAAGTGGGCGGTGCCACTCCCATTTTCCAAAATTTTACCATAAACGTATTTCTTGGTAAAGAATTGTTGCAAGCATCAATTTTGAAAAAATTAGCTTCAATATTTAATGATTTATCGAAGATTTTGTATTTCTCTAAATTACCGTTATATGGGATGTGGGCGTGGTTATTGTCCGATTTTAAAAAGTTTCGGCGGTTTTTTATGCTGTACCAAGGCCAACAACTGTGCCAAGTTTGGAAGAAATTGGTGTAGCGGTTACCAAGATATACACATGTAACCATAAGTGGGCGTGGCAACGCCCATTTTCCAAAAATTTATAATATTCTTATTTTTCGTCTAAAACTTATTATAAATATCAATTTTGAGTGAATAATCTCCAGTAGTTACTAAAATATTGCAGTTTTCGTATTTCTGAAAATTACCGTTATATGGGAAGTAGGCGTGGTTATTGAGCCATTTTAAAAATTTTCGGCCATTTGGTATTTTATGCGAAGGCCAACAACTGTGCCAAGTTTGGAAGAAATTGGTGCAGCGGTTACCAAGATATACACATGTAACCATAAGTGGGCGTGGCTACGCCCATTTTCCAAAAATTTATAATATTCTTATTTTTCGTCTAAAAATTATTGTAAATATCAATTTTGAGTGAATTATCTTCAGTAGTTACTAAAATATCGCAGTTTTCGTATTTCTGGAAATTACCGTTATATGGGAAGTGGGCGTGGTTAAAGTCCGATTTCGCCCATTTTCAATACCAACCTACCTTGGATTAAGGGAAACCTACATACCAAATTTCGTTGAGATATCTCAATTTATGGCTTAATCGATTTCTTTTTTCATCCTGATCATTTATGTATACATTTGTCTATATCTATCTCGATTCGTTTTGGCTGTTACAAACAACCGTTATGTGAACAAAATTAATATACCCTTGTGCACAAGTGCGCTCGGGTATAAAAACGGCATATCGATTGATTTAAGTCAGAATAGGTATTCAGTCCTGTACATTGCCGTGATTGTTTCATGCCGAAGAGCTATCCCCCAAATGTTTGAAATGCTTTAATTTTTTCAATATAATTTTGTTCCAATTTGCGCTTCGAGTAATACTCGAAATTACATCTGGATATAATATCTAGCCATTTCCGAGCAAAAAACTACTATTTAGTCTGTGTATTTCTAATATTTGTGACATTTTATCAAGGCCTTCCCTGAGGAGCCCTGAAGTTCGTAAGAAGCAGCGTAAAATTCAAATTTTTTAGATTTTCCTGTGCAATGTGATATGCATCAATTAAGAAAAAACCGAATTTTGATTCTTGTATTATTTGGATCGATTCACGGATCGATTCGGAACTAAAAATTCGAAACAAATCGAATCGGAAGGGCTCGATTAATCGATCTTCCATTTAATCTATTTAAAAGCGGCATCTCTAGTCGAAGTTCGAGAATGTGGGAATGTACATACGTATTAGTTCTTAACATATGTATATTTTTTTTCTTTTAATAAATATAAAAATTTCAAGGACATTCATAAAGGTTTAAAAAACATATGCAATAAGTATTCGTCCTTGTTCACAAAAACTTTTTTTTCAATTTTATAGAATTTTCTCTTTTATTTGATACGCATCTTGCTATTCTACATTGCAATGCATTTTTGAAATAAAGTTTTGACTTAGCCAAAGTCCTTTTAAAAAATCCTTACGCCAGAGAAAAACCAAAAACGACGTTATTGATGTTTTTTATACACACATACATACATACATAATAAACTGCCGCACGTTGTTATGAAATGAAATTAAACACCTCCTAGCAACTTGCACTTTTGCTATTTTTAATGGTGGTCTTAATGCGCTGTAATATGTTAATATTTATTCGTGCTAACATATTCAATTAATCACTATCAGCAATGGAATTTTAACAAAAGTATTACAATAGAATTAGGTGGCTAGAGCGTGTAAGCTCTTTGGGCCATTAAGATCACTCGCTGCTGACATGACAGAAATTGGTATTTTTCCATAGATGCATCGAAACACCTAACTTGCATACGTTTTTAGTATTTATACACACTGCTTCCAAATACATTTGCATCAACGATTCAAAACAGTTAGGAATATTATCAATGTCAATGACTTTGGGTTGACATGGTCTAGACAGGTGAAGAGCACGTAAACGTCACTACACTACACTACACTACAGATGCTTAATATACATATGTATGCATATACATACATATCTACACAATTACTACCAAACGGCTAACCCATTTTGATAAGCCTAGCTACCCTGGGCGCTGAACAAATTAGCGTGAAAATTTACATCAGCCATTGATAGCGCATTCTGCATGGATGTATATCTTTGTATGTGTAATTAGATAAACACCTGTCCATGCATACGGATTTTGAAAATGAAGAAACAAGTATTTGAATATAAAAATAGGTAGTCAATGTCGAAACTATGCGATTGAATTCACGAAGGAATTATGAGAGACTAAGCTTTGATAAGCCGAATATGTATGCGGTTGCCACTGGTTGCTTGGATTACTTTTCTATTTGTTACGTAGGTAAACGCCCTGGGTACAAGTGCCCCAGATTTTTTAACCAAAGTCTATTACGCAATAAATAACAATGTACACTTATTAATATAACCAGCTTTCACTTACCGACACACATAATATTCTCCATACATCATTTACTTTTAATAATAACTGTTAAATTTGAACTTGAACATACAGTATTTTGCTTTGCCATATTACAACAGAAGTATCTATAATGACTAAAAGACTAAAAGTAAAGGAACGCAAAAAACCAAATTTTTAGTCCATTTTGCGTATTCTTTAATTTCCGTTAATTTAAATTCAGTTGAGTTTGTCACTTTTCAAGATTTTGCCACGAAAAAATTAGTCTGACTACTTCGGACTGAAGAGAGTCACTCTCACTGAGTGTTGCTCTCTCATTTTTGTTGTCATTTTCGAGTTGAGGAACGCTTTTTGGACTAAATCAGACTATTTCGGACTTTTTCTGACTATTTCTGGGAGATAAGGAACGCAACTATTATAGGTTAATTTTCTTTAATATTAACAATACTGATTTTCGTATCCCTTGCCTTTTTTATGTTAGTTAAACGGCCAATGAAGAAAACAGTTCGCCAACATTGCAAAAGTATTCTTTTCAAGTTTATTCATTCAAGTCCTGAATATTTTATGATTTATTGAAGCACCGAATACTTTAACGTCAACTCCGTCACAAACTATGTGCAAATTGCTTTTAGGTATTTATGTACGTTACTTTCCGAAAAAGATTATGTTCGTCACGCCCGTCACATGTAGGGTAGCCTGATGCGCTGTTTTAATCAGTACATATACTTATTTTTTTATTGTACTGATTTTTTAGAGCCCGAAATCAGTACTCAAAATCTACTAGTTTTTTGAGTTTGTACTGATTTTTACATTTAGTACAAATTTTTGTAAATTGGTATAATTGACATTTAAAAAAATGGTTTTTTGGACAACTCATGTGTGTGAGCGGATTGAAAGCAATTTATTGAACGTGTAAAAGCAGCGTTAATTAAATTTGAACTATTATTCAATAATAATTGCTTGATTCCAATCCAACATAGTAGCCCTGTTCCAGTTACTCCACGATTTGCAAGTTTTACAGAAAAGGCTGTTTCCGCCATTAATAAACCTTAGGAAGGTGGTGACCGGGAACGACTTCCGGTAAACCCCTGCAAATCGGGAAGCGCCTCATGGTCAAAAATTTTGGTTTAATTTTTTAGCCGAGCTGCGACTACTGCCTTTTTTAATCTTCTATAGTCTACTTTTTAAACCAGTCAATAGTTTTAAGCAATTTTTAATATATTCTGGTTTAAATTTTAGTCCAGGGAGTCGAGAAAATGATGTTTTGCTATGAGTGGTCTAAAATTAAAACCAAAAAGTTCGTGGTTTAAAAACCAAACCAAAATGTTTTAATTCTAGTTTCTAGGTTTCATATATAGAAAATTTGGTCGTGTCGTCGAGTCGGCGGCAGGTAAACGGAGCACGCGTGCCACCGGCACAGCCATAGAGATCAGGTTGATACTACACACTCCCGGGGGCTGCAGTTTCGACAGCCTTGATCTAAGTCAAATTACAAATTTGAGGTGTTGCTTTGGGTAACTTTTGTACTTTCTATGAGTATAAAGGTCCGTCTACATATAACGCGTTCGCGTCGACTTGGAGTTCGCGAAGCTCGTCAAAATAGTGAAATTGTCAACATTCAACTTTTCAATAAGAAAAGTAGTTTATTTTTCTTTTAATTGTAATTGATTGTAGTTGGGTTGGCATATGAAAAAGTGAAAAAAGCAACAATAGTTTATAAGGCGAACTTAGCGCAGTGGGTAGACCACTGACTTTGTATGCTGGGGTTGCTGTGTCGAAACCCAATGACCGCGATGAAGAAGTCTGATGTGGAAATGTGGTGATCTCCGAAATGGCAGCTATAAATTCTACTGTTTATAAACTATTATTGGTTTTACCACAATACTTTTTCATATAAAACGGCCTCAAACTCACTAAAAAAATGTTTAATTTTGAAAATACTAAGGAACCCGCATGGTTTTAAAACGCCCAAAACTTAGTGTCTAAAACTTAAAAAATATTTCAAATTTTAGTCAGAGTTATAAAAGATCCGAGTGCCAGTGAAGAGTGGTCTGTTTTCAATTTCATCAAATTTCAAATCACCCTATACCGATGAAAAAAGTTCTTAATTAGAAAATAAAATCAAAACCTTACCACACATCTACAGGTAAGGTCTTTAATTTGACCTCTCATTTTTGAAATTCCCTTTCAAAAGTATTCTCAAACTATAATCTTTTTACATCTCTTTCATCTGACATTGTGATACACATGTATTTCAATAAACTGATGAACTAATTTGAATTTGATTCTTCGAACAAATGACAACCTTCCTAAATAAAGGTCAGGAATAAAGCCTTTTCAAACCCATTTCAATTGATACCCATGTCTTAATATATCATCAAAATTATTGAATAATTTGAATTTATCTTTTTAAACACGTAACATCCGTCTTCAAACATTCTAAATGGTTAAACTAAAGATTTCTTAACATTATTTTGTTTGACTACGGTATTTTTATATTTCAAACCTCCTTCGATTGATACCCATATTTTAATAATACATTTAACTTATTAAATAATTTTAATTTAACTTTTGAAACGGGTGGCAACCCTCTTCCAACGCCTCAAAAATATGCTTAGTGTTCCAACTAAGGATTTTAATCACTTCTTCGTTTGACATTCATATTTTGATGTTTCATATAACTTGTGTATAAGTAAACTAAATTCGACATTTCAAGCAGGTGGCAGCCCTCTCCAAGATATTTTCAAACTACTACTTTCTGAAGCCCCTTTCATAGTTTTCTTACCTAATATGATTTTTTAATCAGGTGGAACTCATCATTTCGATTGATACCCATCTTGTTATAGATGATTTATTTTTTAAATAATTTGAATATAATTTTTAAAAGGTGGTTGGTACAGTCCAAGCCTTTCAATATGACACCTCATTGATTGTTAAATAATTTAAGGGTAATTGTTCAACAGGTGGCAACTCAGGAGAACTAAAACCAGTTTACACATCTACAGGCCAAGCGCTTCAATTTGGCATCTCATTTTTGAAAATCGAGCGAACGGTACAGATCTTTTGTCCTGGGCAAAAAATCGATTCGCGTATTTATATATCGTCGTTTAAAGTACAAAACCGCGTATCAACAAAATGCAAAACCGCGTATGTAAGGTTGCATAAATTAATTTCAAGATAGTAAAAACACTCATATTTTAAAATGGTTCTTTTTTATAAAGCAATCGCATTTCTGGCGAGTATATTTCAGGTCGAATGGATAAGGATTGGGCCAAGACCTTGTGTGAGCAAATCCAATTTTTAACAGCAAATGTCAGTTACGCGGTTTTGCAGAATTACGATACGCGGTTTTGTACTTTGAACGACGATATATAGATATGATTTATAAAAAGTATAAATAAATAATATCGATTGCTTATATTCAATAACCTCTATCTGCAATTTTCACAAAAACTACTTTGCGATGTTAGAACCCATGTGGGACTTACCTGTCATCACTGATGTTAATTCTGACTTTGCAAATTAATAGTAAATTCTTCTGTCAAGCGTTGTTCAAGGTCATCATTAATATCACCGATGGCAGTTAAGTTTTAGGTGGACTTTTATATCAGAATCTACATTAATATATTGAATATAAGCCCTTGATATATTAAAAACGGTGGCTGTGGTTCAAGTGTTAGATAATTTAAGCACACCAAAAGTTTTGTAGGGGTACATGGTGCAATAAGCAGGTGAATTAATAAAACAGCTTTCTCGCTTTATGTTCTGTCATTCGGCTATCGTATAGAAAACAAGATAACAGTGCAATTCTGGCAACTGTCTTTCTACTCACCACAGTCTTTCGAAAGACAAAAGTCTTTAAATGTTAAATAAGGAAATGTTAGCAGAAAGTACAATATTGTTTGAGATATACGAAAACGACTTGGATGACAATTTAAGAACAATTAAATAAGAACAACTCTATTTTTTGAGTTTGAAATCAGCATACGAACATTAAAGGATTTAGTCAATTAAAACCAGGCGATAAGGAATATATCTACGGAAAAAGTGTGGTAGAGCGTCAACCATGTATGTATAGATATGAATGTAGATAGGCATAAACAATTTCGCAACTCAATGTCGTACCTTTGCCGCAAAAGTGTAATAACCCAAAAAACTAAAAATTCTATAAAAACGCCTTTTATTTTTACAGTGTATATACGCTCCCATGGTAAAAATTAAGACATATTTTCTTCTAATGAGCAATTGTTAATCGACATGACATCGCTATGACATTTTTACATAGGAACTTAACTTTTCTTGGATTGTGATGCTATTGCTGAAAAGGTACGTTACATTTTACATTCTTAATGTATACAATCAATCTTATTTACATATGTGTGTATTTATGTATACTAGGGTGGTCCAAAATAAGTAAAGCCGGAATTTTAATGCTAGGATTGTTCTATATCGAAAAAAATTTACCCCTATTCTTTATTTAAAAATCAAAAAATATTTAGAGGCCGCTCAAAGCGCTCAAAATTTCCCATGTATTTTATATGGGATAAAAATACTTTTCGTTGAAATGATATGGAACTCTTGAAAATCAATATTTTTCAATCTGAAAACTCTGGTTTTCTTCACGAGACTACCAATAACCGTTTTAAACGCTAAAAATTTTTTATTTATCCCCCATGGCATTTTCTGGGGGTTTGGCGGACCTATAAGATATAGTTACTATAAAAAAATGGTTAAAAAAATAATTGGGTATTATTGTCTGGAGTCTCCTGAAGAGAAACAAAGCTTCCCGATCGAAAAATAATGATTTTCAAGAACTCTATACCATTTCTACGAAAAGTGGTTTTCCCCATATAGTAACATACATGGAAAACTTTAAGCGCTTTGAGCGACCTCTAAATATTTTTTTGATTTCAAAATAAAAAATAGGGGTACATTTTTTTCAGTATAGAACAGAGAGCATAAAAATTCCGACTTTACTTTTTCACATGCATTTTTGGACCACCCTAATGTATACCCAAAGTATTTATAAAAATAAATGCGCAAATCGTCCATATCCTAATTATTAAAAGTAGATAAAAAAATATACATATGTATGTACATCCATACATATGAAGGCACCAGGAGGCCCTAAAGGCCGTTACCTAAACGTGAAAAGGTGTCAAGTTCATTTTTTTTGATTGTTCAGAAGAGACGATAAATCTATGTCGTATCGCATTATCATTCTGTATCAAAAAATAAATTTTTAAAAAAGTGGACTTGGCACCTTTTCACCATTAGGCAGTGATATGAAACTGTCCGTATCTTTATTATCTTATCGCCAGCAATTATAGACAATTTCTATACAATTACATAAAACCCGTTGAATTTGCTGAGTAATTATTTTCTATCAATTAAAAGTGCTTAGAAACCAGTAGTTTTCAAGAATTTAGCGGCAAAATTTTGCTTGGGGTAGGTCGGGAACAACTTCAACAAAAAGTTAGTAAAAAAAATATCATAACAAATGGTCCGATAACTGTTTCTGCGCACAAGTTATTGATAAATGTGTGGGTTGGTAAAAGTGTGCAAATACTTATAGATATTTATATGAGTACTACAAAATTTCCATGTGCATATGGTTTTAAAAATCTAAAAAAGAGAAATAATTAGGACACAGCAACGCGTGAAAAGTGAAATGAACTTGGTAACAGCAGCAAGAAGAGATTATCTAATTGAATCCATTTTTTGGCGTAGATATGTACATACATATTTTTATATACACACATACATACATACATATATATAGTAGTATGGATGTATATATGTACAAGCGTATTCGAAAGAAAAAACCGCCAACAAATATTTATAGCAATTAGTTACAGCTAGGCAAAACATTACTTAGTTACTTAGGCTCAAATATTTTCAGCCTCCCTTTGTAAAACTCTACTATTATTTAGATCTGAATACTGTTCTTACCCTGCAGTAAAATGTAATAAGCGCCTGTCGAAAAAAAAGCAGCGGGCGGTGATATTCGGTCCCCAATTCGTGCCCATAAATCCAAAAATGAAGTATTGATTTTGCCGTCTTATTCTCTTGGGTTGGCTAAATCAGTGTGAAAGTGTCAGTTGACGAAGCGCTCTGTAACAAAAAAATGTAATGCTAAAGTTTAAAAGAACGCCAAAAGCGATAAGGGCGATCGATTTTAACTTTGTAAAATGGGTTTTTATTCTACATGTCAGTTCTATATAAGGATTCATTTTAAGTTTTTTATTACGGTCAACTGATTAGTATTTAATGAAATATTCAAGTGAATTTTTTAATACAAACAGTTTAAATAAAATGTCGTAAGTCATTTTCGCACCAATAAAAAAATTATTTTTGTTTCAAGATAATTGTATTTTAAACTATAATGCTAAATATTGAATCCGACCGCGTCCTTTTGTTTAAACTCCGATTTTGTACCATATTATATTGAACGTTTTTTTTAAGGTGATTTTTTTAAATAAATTTTTTCAACCGATTTCGTGCAAGATACGCGTAAACATGGTTATATTATAATTCAGTACCATTTTTAATTTAGAATTTTAAATATAAACTGGCGATGGGCATGATGATAATCGCGGTTTTTTATTCAGGTTTTAATCCGTTAAAAAAAACTGTATTAAAAACCTAATCTCTTCGGTTTACCGAAAACAAACCGAATTGCAAAAAACTTTGCAAAAACCCAAAACACATCGATATCAAAGTAAATTAAATTTTCACATACACTAATTACTTACTGCTATGCAACGCAAATTAGTTAAAACAATAATTGCGATTGTCCAATATTTTTCATGGTAATTTTTTTTCTGTTAATTTTGTATTAAAATATGGGTTATGTTTTAACAAACGATATATAAATCAACTTTTCAAACCTTGTACGAAATTTCAATATTCACAGTCGACATCACAATCGATTATGCTTAGCTACTGGATCAGCAAACAAAAATTGAGTAATTAATTTGAAGTTTGTGGTATGCCGTAAAATTTTTTTTCCTATCTCGAAGAATTGCATTGCCATTGCTGCTTAATGTAAAAACTGAATTTTCGGTTTTCGGTTTAAAAGCAAAAAAACGATTAACACCTAAATTATAAAAAAAACTGAAAAAGATCATTAACCAAATTTAAAAAAAACGGTTTTTGGAAACACCAATCTTATTTGAACATCCCTACTACATACTTAAATATAACTCAATTTTACCTGAATTTAATAAATATTTTTCAAATTCACCACATTTTTTTTATTTCAGGCGCCATATTGGATCGGCCATTTTGTTTTTTGTTATTTTGATTTCAGATTAGAATTTAGCTAACCTATTAACTCTTAAATAATTTAAAGATAAGCCATTCTTATAATTATTTTTAACAAAGTTATTGTGTTTAAGATTTTAGACGCAATATTGGATCGGCCGTTTTGTTTTCTTTTTTTCAGATTCAAATTCAGGGACCTCGAAAGCCCTTGCAAGCCTGAGTTCATGTGAATATACAATTTTTCACTCCCAGCTCAAGAATTTGAACTGAAAATTAGTCGTAGCTTAAGCTCACATTTATGGATGAGGCACAAGATGGCTTGGTGCCCCCGCTGCTTCTTTTTTCGACTGGGGCTTATAACACTTTCCCGCTGAGTACGAATAGTACTCAGATCTAGATAATAGGAGAGTTATACGAGGGGAGGCTTAATAATGTTGAGCCTAAACAGCTTAAAGTGACATTAATGTCTTGTTCTACATGTAACTAATTGCTAATATCTTTAGCAGTATAAATACTGAGTTTCATTTCATTAATATCATTACGCTTTTAGTAATTGAGCCGTAAGCATCGGAGCTGTCATCAAATTCCTCACAAAGAAAATCAAAATGCCGGCGGAAATATTTTAAGAGATGTCTACAGTATATTGGTTCTGGACCTTCATTTTCCACCTCCAAACATTGGAACCGAGAATTCAATCATGGCAGGGAGTCGATGGAAGATAATCGCAGGGCAGGGCGTCCACACACTGTAGTTACACCTGTTTTTGGGGATTGTTAAGGTATCCGTTCATCGACTATCTTCGTAAAAAAATACAATGAGCGGAGACTATGTATTTGGAATTCTGACAATCGCTACGCAAAATTTTCGTCGCTAAAATGAAAAGCAATTGTGTGTAAAAGTATACAACATGGAAGCCAAATCTGGCAGTGTGGTGAACATGAAACTAGATGTTGCGTGTTGTTAGATGCGCCTGCTATTCGAATATAAAGACGGCGAATATTTTTCCTCTGAATTAAAAGCTCTTTATGATAAATGTAAGAAATCGAAGTAGAGGGAGATTATATAAAAAAAAAACAAAGTTGTATACATTTCTATCAGCTATTTTCATACCTTAGCCTAAAAACTTTTCAGTCTCCCCTCGTACATACATATATATGTATGTATATACGAATGTAGCTGTCCAAAACGGCACGCGGCATCGCATCAGCTCATCATAACCAGCTATACACTTGCCAACTTGTCGCGAGGCGTAGCTTAAAAATAAAAAACTAAAAATAAATATCCACTGATTTACATACATATTATGTATGTATGTATGTATGTATGTATGTATGTATGAACATAGATTTACTCCAATACGGTTATGCCCTAAATACATGCCTGCCTCTATTGCGGTATTTGCGGAGTTTCCATTTCAATATCTGCTCGGCATCTCATACATACTTACAAACATATGTACATATGTAAGTAATAACAGAAAAGTGATCGCGGGTGGCATGCTCACATGCTTCACATATGCTAATAAATAACGGCCAACTGATCAGTTTACAATCAATCATACGCACTGTCACGATGGCTTGTCATTGCGCCCGCTCAGGTGCTTTTCTTTTAACTGTACAGTTTGTCTCTTATTTATTTGATTCTTAATTCGTCTCGTTTATATTCTAGCTAAAATTTGCATGTTTAAATCTTTTATGAACTTTCAACGCAGTGACTACATTTGAGTGAGTGACGGAGTTTTGAGTTTATGATAATCGCATTCACTTGCAAAAGCTCCAGGGACACCTGTATTTAAAATTGTTTTGAAAAATAAATGTACCGCTATTTCTCTGCATATTTTTAGAGCAGAATGCAAGTCACCTTTGTTGTTGTTTTGTTAAATTTTATCTAGTAGATACACATACATACATATATATTTATAAAATACAGAAATTGAGAAATTGGGGCAAAGCTTGACGCGCATTAAAAATACGCCATCGAAGTGAAAAGCTGGATAATCAACCTCGAAATTTTGAATTTTCTATGCTTATGAAGATTACGAAGAGTTTAATTTTTAAGTT